GATTGCCGATGCGTTGCTGCTGCATAACCTACCTGCGCTACCCAACCTTGACCCAACAAGAGACGTCAACCATTCATTCATCCAAGGTACCGGAACACGTGCGGATACCTTACGCTCCACACGTCCCTTCTGTTCCTTCCAGAGCCGGGGACAAGGACCCTGTCGTCTTCACTCAAATTCTACTTGCGAGCCGAAATCTACGTCCTTCCCGAAACATGGCTACCCCCTTCTAGGCCCCGGCGCAGTGCTTCTGCGTTTAAGCTGAGGCGCCTGATCGCCTGCCACCTTGTTGTTATCATCTCCTTGGTTCATTGGCATCAGGCGTCTTGGTTTCGATGCTTGCGGCTCCTTGGACGCGTCTTCTTTGAGCAATGTCAATGGCCCCAAACTCTGCTCAAAAAAACGTCGCGGCTGTCTAGGCCTGTCCAACTGTCCTCAGGCCTGGCTAACTTTCTTTATCCAAGGGCCGGCTTGGCTCCATCAGATATCTCGGGCCTCACCGTCGGCACCCATCAAGCCTTCTCCAGCCACGGCCGTCTCTCGCCTCCTCTTTGCACAAACGGCATCTTGGCCTGGGCCTGGCTCGATTTTCTGCGTTGTCCGGCAAGTTTGCCGCCGCATTGATTGATTTCTTTGCCTAACCTGGCCTGGCGGACAATGGCTTCCGCTAATGACTTGACCATTCTTCTAACGTTCCATGGTTCCCCAAGATCTGCGATCTTGCCAGCACTCAGACAGCGAGCAGCAAGTATCGGAGTCATCCGGCCCTTGAAGCGCCATCAACGCCTCATCCTGCGCCGTTGCTATTTTTCGACTCAAAACTTACAACTATATTGTTCTTCCCAGCCCCTGCTGTGGGCCAAACGGCTGACGCATCGTGGTTGACGCGAATGCATCCGTGCCACCTACTCCCCATACTTGCCTTTCCCCTGTCCGTCCGTTCTCAGTGAGCTCCCTTCATCCCATGTCCCCTTGTCCTCGACCTTGTTTCACAGACATCCGACTGGTGAGCCGTTCAGCGTTCCCTCGCATTTCGGCAGCGAATTTGGGTGGTTTCTCCGTCGAGGTCCTCAATGCCGACGCCGGGTACGGCGCGGATGTCCTCGTCCAAAGAGCCTCATTTTGATAGCAACTTTTTGGACCCTGGAACCTATTCGAGGCAGCCCCCCCACCACTACCTTCAGCCCATGCTGGACTTACTTTCGGGAATGCCTCACGGTCGTCGTCTCCGGCGCCGATTATGTTGGAGTCGCACGACAGAGGACAACTGGTGGCGGCGACCTGCAAAGCTCCCGGCCGTGACAAAGGAGACTTTGCGGTGTTGGTGTATGCAAGCTTGACATCCATGTCTGTGACCGTGAACAACTTAGCAGCGCGTCTGCTAAACAAGTGTCAATCCATGACCCCTCGGCTTGGCCCGAAATCCGCAGATAACTCGCCGCACCTGTGGGTCTGAGACCTCGAGAACGCCGCCGGGAGTCCGTGCTCGGCAACAACATACCGTCGTCCCGTGTCCTTAGATTTCGTCCACTCGCATTTCCGATCAGCTCCCTTGAAACAGAAAAACACACTTTCTGCTCCCCGACGGGCATCAGACGCCCACATATAGCTTCCGCGACTATCTGCGTCTCGATCTGCACCTGTCCATATCCCGCTGCCCAACAGCCCTCAGTTGCCCATAATCCTGCATGCGTGTCGTGTTTCACTTACAAATTGCCGTTGCGAGTGTCATTTTCTGCCCATGCATTCCATCGGAGCTCGACATGATGTTATCTGTTGGAAATTGGCATCACCACCGTCTACGTGGCTTGTGTCAGGCCAGACATCAGATGCGGGTAGCCGGTCTCCTTGATTGACCACTGGCCCCGATCAATAGCAATGCTCTGTGTCCCGACGGAGAGCTTTTGCAGCATGTATGTGACGACTCTCATGTTAGTGGTCGGCAAGCAGCATCCTCAAGTGCGTTGTATTCGGCAATCTCATGGCCGGCTTGGCTGCTAGGTGCGTACAAGTTTTCACCGCCCTCCTTTGAGGGTAGGGCGGTCGATCATATCATGGGTATGGAACACTGAGCAAGAGGTAGGTTTGCGGCTCACATAACAAAACTGGGAAAGGGAGCATCAGCCCGCCTGGAATTTAGTCTACACTCAATGCCGACGTCAATTATGCGTGGCCGGTATCCCAATCTTGAAATGCGTCATAACATTGGGTGGAAAATCGCCTTGCAGTTCGCCCAACGTTGTGTTGCAGCAAAAGCGGTGTCGCGCGAGTAAGGATTTTTCTTGACGCCGGGCGCGTCGACATCCTGGATTTGAGTTCATCCCGAACATTCACCCTCAAAAGCTTTCCTCAACAAGGGTAGCATGCAAACCATTTTTAATCAAGCTCTCGGGTGCTTACGAAGGCATACTCACCCACGGCATGCGTAGTTTCGCGCGAACATGCTTGGGGTCCTCCTGATCGAATCACCAGTTGGTGGCTGAGTGTTGCAACAACCTTCGTCGCAAGCAGCTCAGCCGACTTGGCTTGATTCACCTCCTTTTTTGCGTATCTGGGATGCAGTCCGAGTTACCGAAGCATTTCAACTACACTAAGTCCTGCCGGTCAGCGTTAGCCACATGTCAGTCGAGGGAACGTGGCAGCGCTCACGGACATATACTCGGCCGACACTTAGGTCGTGCATAATTCATCCAATCCTTGTATCTTGTCTTCTCGGTTGCCCGGTTCACCATCTAAACTGAGCCGCGTTAACCACCTAAATCCTTGAGCGGCCTTCATTATTTAAGGACATTTTCAAGACTGACAAGGGTCATAAGCGGCGAGTTGACATCAAGGACCCTAACTTCCCCCCATAGGCATGTAGGAACTGATGAACATGTCCCCAATATAACTTGCTTGGATTAGGCCAGCAGCTACATACGACCATACCCATTGGAAAACTCGGGATCCCGTGCGCTCTCCTATAGATAAGCCAATGAGGGCTGGAGTAGTAGTCGGGTCGGTGACGACCGGCGAATGCCCGGTGTTGTATGTATACCATTTTGGGGGTTTTAGGTTGTTTTTTTAGGGGTTTCTAACGCCAGACGAACACACAAATGTTCTACTAGTTACTGAGGAAATGTCCTATGTTGAACGAATAGAGCCTCTACTGCTATATATCTCTATTATCACAGGTAGTGCTTTATCCCCTAACCACGCATATACCTACTTTGGATTAGTAATAAACTTACAGCTAACACAGGCATGGCGTCTTCTGTCTTGTTCACGTTCTGAGCCACTATTTTGTATTCTGTTGACAGTAAACAGCCTTAGGGTTCCAGAACTGTCGCCTTTAAAAAGCTTTTGACATGTTGATGTTGAACAAGACTTCCCCGAGTACATTAACAGAAACATGCCCGAGATGCCAGAAGCTTATCGAAAGCCAAGCAGAATCGGTGTTAAAGGCGTTATAGATATCTCTGGTAAGTACACGATCCGACCGATTCTTGTGCTTCATATGATTTGCGTTTGCGAAGCTACATGTGCAGTTGACAGTTTAATAACGAAGCGGAAACTATACCGAATGTAACCCGAGGTATCTATGGGGCCTAGAGCGTCTCATACTGCAGATGGACGTCCAATAGAAGTATTCTGTGCAACATTACCTTCATTGGGTCGTTCAAAGATAATATCCACAGGCATACGGAGCACTGCGGAATATCTTGATCCGTACATGTAATAACAAGAGCCCCGATACACAGCCTCTCACATGCGGCATTGGGAACACGGTATGCACACTGTCGGGTTTTTTTTTCAAAGTCTTGAAAACTCAGTATCGTGAATTTTTTACGTCATTCAGGTTCAAGGTTATTGACAGTCTATCCGTATCTTCTCAAAGCTGTAGATGAGAATAGATACACCCTAACAGTGGCGGCAGCGATGAGCCTTGAAGACATGAAGACTGCGGTGTCCGATGTAGTAGGCATAGAATCGAGTGGAAGGCAAAGAGCACCAAAAATATCAAGAATGAGGTATAACTGTCAACATGAATATCACGAAAAGCCTCATCTCGGAGACGTGGGAGGAGGTGCGGTTATGGAGCGGGCCATTTGTCACTACGACTGCGTATTTATCATCGAAGCTATCTCATCTAGCCGTTTTTGGTGAAGAGAAGCATAAGAACAGGTACTGCACGCTCGCGAAAAACAACAAAATGGGGCCCCCATGAAAGTGGCCGTCGAATCCAATTATCTTAGGTCTCTGTTCAGCTATGAGGCTTACCAGCGACGATGTAACAGGCCAACTGGCTAACCTAGCGGCCCTATTTTTATTATTTTCGAGAGCATACCGTATCACCATCATCCACAAAGTATGTCCAATTCTTTCAACGTATGTTTCCCGAAACGACGATCCCGGGGCGGCGGCGGCGGCGCATCAATCTCCACCTGAGCCGGCACTGCGAGTGGGCCCTCGGGATCGCCCGGGGCCATGCCTAAACTCTGCTTACCGCATTCAGTCCCTGAACGCGACGTCGAAGCGAGTGCGAAGGCAATCCCAGCGAGCCGTCCGCACTTTCGCCTCCAGATGTCCGACACTTGCCCGTCCCCGACACGGCATAGGTGGCTGTGGTTAAGGACAACATGACCGCGAGGCAAATCATGCCCGTTCCCCGCACGTATTGCGCAGTCACTTCTGTGAATGGAAGCTGGACGCAGCGGACCCACGTGCGAACTGCCCTCGGCTTCATCTGAAGTCTCCCGGCGTGTCATGTGTGACCGTATTCGCAGTCCGCCACAACCGCCTCCTCAGCTGGCGTTGCCAATCGTCGTCATGGCTACAACCGTGCGCATCTGTCAAGGACGACTTGAGTATAAGATGTCGTCGACTCCTTCCTCACCCTGGCGCGCCACATTTCGCTTTGAAAGCTTTCAGAAACTCCGTATCTTTTCACGAAAAAAAGCAAACGATTTCCGTCACACACTCAATCCTACATCACAATATCGATAATATCGATAACAGAAATGTGTGGCTGCAAAAGACGCCGCGAAGCCCGTGCCGCCTGGCTCGAACAACGTGCCGCCGGTGGCGGGCGATGCGGAAGAGGCTTCGGCCCAGGTGAAGGTCCGCCGTTCCGTCCTCCGTTCATGGGCGGACCTTTTGGTCGCTGGAGAGACACGCCACGCAACTACCGAGATGGAGACCCTTCCCAGCTGCAACATCTCAACCCTCGGGATGTGGCGATCCCACGAGACGTTGAGAAGGCAGCCTCTTCTCAAGACCCCCAGCCTTCTCAGCCTAAACAACCTCTGCAACCTCCCCAGAAAGACGTTGGCCGCGTGTCCTTCATGTCAGGCCCCTTCAGCAGATGGCGAGACTCTGTTAGGAGCGACTTTAAGTCTGACTTGAGAAGGGACTCCACCACTACGCTGCCCCCTCGTTACGCCTCCGGTGTCACAGACGTTCCGCGACTTGATAAGGAGAAGCGTGAATCGCTTCCACCGACGTACGATGCTGCGACGAAGTACTGAGCGAACCACGAGGGCAACGGAGAAGCAGACTGAGGATGGATCTTTGCCAGGGTACTTGAAGTAGATGAGACATCGGGCCGTGTCGCAGGAGTCCGTGACATAACGAGGAAAAGAATGAAGTTTGCCATTGAAATCTACAGTCTGGAACTATCCGTCTGTTCTGGGTATTTGGGGTATAAATCCATCCGCTTGTAGTTAACAAAAAACGACACTGCGCTACCCGATGTTACATTTTTCGTGCCAAATGTTTGTGGTTCTGTATACCCAGATGTGTCCAAAAACAACAACATTAGATGCGCAAAACTTGGGATGCAGCCATTCAGTCCCATTCTTCGTAGCCGCCAGCGCCATAAGGGTTCCATTCTTGTCCCGGATAGCTTGTTGCGCTCATCTGAGGCGCCTCAGGATCATCTTCCTTCCTGTACTTGTTTCCCGAGGACTGCTTCTCTTCGTAGGGATCAACGAGAATCTTTTCTTCCTGTGCTTCGAGTCGCATCGTTCTCATGCGTTCGTCTTCAGTATCCTCCAACTCGGCTCTTGTGCTTCTGCCTCGAACGAGAGCTGTGGCGCCGGCGCCGGCGCCATTGGAATTGCCATTCATATGGGTAGCATTGCGTGGTGCCTCGTCTGCCGAACTTTCGCTGACTTGGCTTTGTCCAGTGCTCGTCGCAGTGATGGGTTTTGCAGGTGGCGGAAGCGGACCAGACGGCAGACGAGGAGTTGCGTCGTAGATATCGGAATCAGATGTGTCCTGGTTAGCCTTCTGGATGTTGACGCTTAAGCGTGTACCTGCGCCTGTAGGCTGGTTATTTGCAACTCCCGCGTCTGAGATCGTCATCATGTCTGGCGAGGCGCCGTGTGAACCCTTTCTGGCGGGTCTGGCTACGTCAACAGCAAGACCTGGCACCGAGATCTGTGTCTGCGGCGGGGTGGTAGATGACTGCTCGGCGAATGTATTCAGACGCGATTGATTTGTATGTGGATTGTCGATACCTGGAGGTTGAAAACCTCCGCCATGCGAGGCCTGAACTTGCGGGGAGTCCACGGATTGTCGGACAGCAAAGTCTGTACGAGTGTCCCCATGAGAAGGTTGCTGTACTGGTAATATAGTACTGGGCTTTGTATGATTATTCCCTTGGACGTCGGCCTGGCTAGAATGTGTATGCAATTGCGGATGACCTTGTGCATAAACAGAGGGGTTTTGTCCAAGATTTGCCGTATGGTAGGATTGCATGTCCTGGCTGGACTGGTATAAGCCTCTTGGGTCTTCTTGTTGTTGAGGTTGAAGTTGCTGGTTGTATTCCGGCATACCGTGATGGGTGCTGTTGAAGCCAGGTTGTGCTCCGTAGCTGGCATGTGACACTGTGGATTGATAGGAGGTAGTGCTCACTCGGCGATCAGCTTGATAGGATGCCGCGTATTGACTAGGAGCTTGCGGCTGGTCTTTGGGCGCCAAAGCCTGCGACTGGTTGTACATGGATACTTCGGATGGGTGCTTATGTGCAACTGGCGGCTGTGCATAACTTTGCTGTACCGGCTGCATTTGATGATGAGGATATTGAGCGGGGGGTGATGGGCGTCCGATGTCATACGGAGATGGTGCTACATGCCCTTCTCCGTGAACGGCTTCGTATCCACGAGGAATAGGGACTTCGTCGTATTGAGGCTCTTGATATGGCTGAGGTGGTGGCATGCCTGGAGTGGGACCGAGACTGGCGGGAACAGCCCTAGTCATAATTGGATCACCTGACGGTCTATGGTACTGTAGAACTCGCCCTGTGCCTTGGGATATCTCAGAGCTTGTGCTAGACATGCTGTGTTGCGGGGGCGGTCTTTGCCCAAAAGATGCCGCTGGCGATGGATGACGTTGTTGCTGATGAGCAAGCGGCCCTTGCATTGGGTGAGGGTTGCGTTGATTCAGAGGCCCAGGTGGTGGCGTTAATGTCTGTCCAGGTCTTGTTTGAAAAGGCTGGGCTTGCAGCCCCCTGTCAGGCGGTGGCATTTGCTGCGGCTGTTGTTGTTGTTGTTGGGGTCGGGCCTCAGGTTGCTTCGATGATCTCTTGAAGGCGCTGAATAGAGACTTTGTCGTGGACTCTTTTGGATGGCCTAGATGAGATGAAAGTTGGGCAGCTTGAGCAGAGGTCCTGTTCTTGAACCACTTCGATACTGAGCTATGTTGACCCTCATCATCCAAGCCTTGCGCAGCGGGCTGCTGGCTCTGGTTAGAGAACAGCGGCATCGAGGATAACTGGGTCTGGAGCTTGTTTGCTTGAGAAAACTGCTCCATACCTCCAGGCCCGAGTCCAGGAGCCTGTTGCTGCATCACATGAGGCACAGATGACGGAGACTGTTTAGATATGTCATCGTTCTGACCTACGTCTAGAGAACCAGTTTCAACTGTTCGGGTTTGGAGTTGGTCAGCAAACGACGCTTTATGCGTTGTTGATGTTGCAACAGAGACCATCGGCTGCCGTTGGGAGACAGGCGGGGGCTGCGGTGAAGCTGAGATGGACGATCGCTGCAGCTTGTCCGGCGCATGCACTACTCCTTTGGATGACGATGCTATCGCGTCTGGTGGGCCTCTCAGCGACGAAGCGGATTCTACATTTTGTTGACCAGCATCTAGCCCCTGTATTCCAAGTGCATGAGCTTGAGGGTTAGAGAAGGTTGGAACATGAGAGCTGCCGGCTTGTTCCTGTTCAACATACAATCGCGCAGGTGGCTGCTGCGCAGAGGGATCTGACATGAGGTGTGTACCAGGAACTGTCCGAGACTGTGCGGTGTCCAGTACGCCCCGATTAGAGGGTTGTGCATTTAAGACGGGAGATACAATCTGGGAAGGTTGGGGGCCCATCGTAATCGAATTGGCTGACCGGGGCAGTGTTGATTGTTGCTGAGTCTCAACACTTCGTCCTGGATGAGCCGTCGAGCCCTGGGGAGATAGCTGTTGCTGATCTGGGCCGAATTGCTGGTTTACCGTAAGTGACAGCCCCATGTGACGGTTTGACCCTGGGTTCGAAGGCTGGTGCTGCTGTGCGGGCTGGAGCATCCCGGGCTGCGCAGGAACATGGCTGTTTTGATGAGAAATAGCCTGGAATGGTTGTTGGGCTTCTTGGTTTCTCGATGACCGATGACCAAATATACCAGAAAGGAGATTTCCGGCCGAACTTCTTCTCCCGCGATCCTCTTCACCAACAGTCTGCAAGTGCGTACTTTGAAGTAAACCAAAAGGCCCAGATCCTGTCGTATTGCTGCGCTCTCTCCCAGCGGCGACTTGCGATGAAGACACATCAAGTTGAGTAGCAGGTGCTCCGGAGTGATGACTGTGAAAAGACGATGCCAGTGAATGGGAGGTCCCCGGCTTCTGAGGTGGCTGTAGCTCCTGGTGGCTGGATGAACGGTTGAACACCTTGCCTGCGAAACCAGAGAAACGTTTCTTCGGAGGGGCTTTGTGACCGCCAGCTTGATCGTTGCCAGCGGTCGAAGTCGATGAACGCGACAACGTTGGTAGCGCGGCAGATAGCGCGGCAGATGAATCGTTAGCAGCTGAACCAAGCCAAGAACGCTTTCGCTCTGCAGGCCCAGCCGGTGGCTGAAATTGGGCAGAGGCAGGGATAGGACTAGCTTTTGGGGACAGCGTGACCACTTCGCCCTCCTGTCCTTGCTGAGATCCAGTGTCCGACGGTTTAGAGCCTCTTAAATTGAGGAAGAGGCTAGACCGCCGCTTCTGCCGCCCGCTTTGGGTTTCCCCAGCAGCCATGTTCGGCACAGGATCTCTAGTCCTGTCCGTATCCGAAGGGTGACCGACGTGGTCTACCTCATCTTCCTTGAAACTCTGCCTTTCTCTTGAAGAGGGCCGTGAGAAGCGTTCACCAATTTCTTTGAAGAAACCTGTGCTCCGTCTTTTCCTGCCCCGCTCATCGTCTCCTGATGGCTCCACACTACTTACTTCAGAGTCTGCCGTATGGGTTCTCTGTATCGAAGAACTATCCCAGGGGAAGAACTGGTGTCCTAAATCGTAAGAGCTACGGGGCCCAACCGGCGACACTAGGTTGGGTTGGCCTTGAGGCGGAGGTGTAAAAAGACCTGGATATCGCTGTGCCGATGACGGAGGCACCTCAGAGAACTTTTGTCGAGGTGGTAATTGCGTTTCTTGCCGCGGGACTGTTGGCGAGGACACCCCGGTCTCCTTATCGAATCCAAAAAACGGCTGGTGTGGGGAGGCTGGACTACCAGACAGACGATTACGACTCGCAGGCAAAAGAGGCTCCGACAGGTGAGATTCTTCTAATTTCCAGGGACCTTGGGGCGGTAAATGTTGAATGGGGTTGCCACCTGTACTCGGGGATACCACGCCCTGTTGTGAGCGCATGCCAAGTGGTGGGCCACCGCCAGTTCGTCCTGCTTGTTGCATTGCAAGCTTTGTATCGATAGGGTGAGGAGTAGAACCGCCAGGTCTGAAGGAATGCCGGGGATCTAAAGCCCTCTTCTCATCATCGCCCCATGCAACACCAGTGCTTTCTGTGGCGAGTGTTGCCGCCTGGGTAGACGTGGCTGAGATGACTTGGTGGGACATAGCACTATCTTTGCGCGATGCTGAAAGCCCGGTCTCAATTCGGGCAGGTTGTGCGAACCGAGTGGACGCATCCCGACCTACATGTTGATGAAGTGATGGAGTATTGGCATCGATCACGGCCTGGCTTGTGGTAACCGTGGAAACCGGAGAAGACACAATAACCTGACCGTCGACATCGTCGTCCTCTTCAAGAGAGAAACGTTTCTTTGCTCTTTTGGTGAGATTGATACCGAATGTAGAACTCCGCCTGATGGGTGGAAGGCCGACGAAGGAAGATTGGCGCTGAGGTGATACCGACTGTTGTTGCGACGGAAGCTGCCGACGAGTCTGGAGTTGGTTCTGTTGCTGAGTCTTTTGATCCTGCTCCTGCGGGAGTACTTGATGTTGAGTGTTGTGATGTAGATGGTCTTGATCCTGCTGTGACACCTGTTGCGCATCTGAAGATGCATTATCGCCAGCAGCAATATCCAACTCATCTTCGTTGTCAAAGATCTCTCTACTAGACTCCGTGGGTTGGAATGAACGCACCAATTGTGGCGACTCGGGGGGCAAAACATAAATTTGCTCAGAGGGTGCTGACTGCGGCGATACCACGACCCAGTCATCTTCACTTCTGGTGTTCTTCGTTGTCGAAGCGTTGTGGAATTGCGCAGCGGGGGCAGCATGAGGCGCATGCTGAATATGGGGGCTCGGATCCCTGGATTGCCCCATCTCAAACCCTTCCTCTTCAACCAAGGGTGTGCCTGTAAAGGGATCCCATGACGGTTGGGTCTTGCCGATAGGTCTTGGAACCTGAAGATCGCCGGTGCCGTAAACAAAGGCATCTCCATCGTCGGCGTTGTCGTGATGGCTAGGGGCCGACATGGACTGGGTGTCCGAGACGGGCGACACGGGCTCGGACTCGCTATCCCGGCGAACACCGGCGGGATGCTTAGGGGTTTGAGGCCGGGGTGGGGCCCAAGCCGAAGTCTGTTTTTCCTGAGTCAAGGCGTCGAATGGGGAGATACGTGATGTCTGGGGTAGTTGAGGCGGTGGAGTCCGAGATGCCGGATGTTCCGGGATGGTCTGTGGACCAGGAGCTGGGCCAGATAGTGATCCCGAGAACGATGCTGAATGCGCATGACTGGCCGCACGGGGTGATGAACGGTTTCCGAGACTAATGCCCCATGACGTACGCCGCTCTGGTTTAGCCTTGGACTGGGGTTGGACCGGTGGGGGCGAAGAGTCGCGCTGTGGGAGAACAAGCAATTAGAGATGATCACCACAAAATGCCACGTGGAGTCTTAAATGTCCGAGGGCACCACAGGGGTTACATGATCGTGCAAAAATGAAGAGTCGTAGCATTCCTTAATTCATACAGTCCCGTCATCCTGGTCAGAAAGGGAGACACATAGCTCATGAGCGAGTACCAGGGGGGGAATAGAAGGAGAAAAGACAAACGGCAAATGGGAAGAGACGGGAACCGAGCCCCTTTAGACCATCCCGACGGCTAGAGGAAAAAGAAGCCATGCCCTGTGATGTGACGGCCCCAATTGAGAGGAATGTTAAAGAAATACCTTGTCCCCAGTGCCACGGAGTTTGTTCTTGCCCTTGCTCAATAAACCTTTACCCGCCTTACCCGCCGCAAGCAACAGTCCCTTGCCCTTTGCCCCGACTTGACCACTCGAATGCTTGAAATCGCTCCCAGGCGAATGGGACCCCATGGATACGCTGCCTGCGGGAGGACGACCCGACGATGTTGCTGTGACTGCTGCTGTGCTGACATTGGTCGAGCTAGCGTTGAGATACTGCTGATAGTAGGGCTGTTGAAAATTTGGCTGGGATGCTGGTGGTGATGATGATGGTTGGCCAACGTTTGAAACGTTGGCCGCGAATGACGCCGTCGCATTGGCGTGCTCGGGATGCTGAGACTTGAGGTTGACGAGCCAGTTGTTTAATCCCGAATCCATTGATGCAAATTGCGCTCTAGTCTCGTTGTACTTATTGATTCTCTCCGATGCGTTTTGAATGTCCATGATCTCCTTGAAGTTCATGATCTTAAGAGGTGCGGCTGGCTGGTCTTGCGACGGCTCGGCAGGCGCAGGCGGCGGAGGCGATTTCGCTTCCGAAGATCGAGCCAGCGCCGGGTGTTCGCCCGGCGGTGGGCTGGGGGACACGGGATTGGACGAAACCCGAACCATTGACTTTTCTTCCGCGAGGGACAGGCGTCGGGGAGGGGCGGCCGAGGCGTTGTTCTTATCAGTCACGGCTGACACGGGTGACGGAGGCTCAATGTTCTCTGAGTCCAGCCGATCTCCCGGCACCGAGCTGACCTGCGACACTTGGTGTGACATCGTGCCTGAAGTTGTAGGCACTGCAATATGCGTCTCGCCCATATTGCTGGTGGATGGCTGGGTTTGTTCAGCGTCCCTTGTCTCTCCAGACGACAACGCTGGAGACTGTTCGTGTCCAGGGGCAGGTGAACTTGAGCTGACAGGAGCCACAGGGGCAGCTTGTGGCTGAGAGTCCGACACGGGTTTCTCTTGAGGATCAGCCGGGCCCGGCGTGACTTGTTCCGATTCCGCTTCCCAGGAAAATCGTCGACCAAGTGTCGGAGGCGTTCCTGCGTTCTCCTTGCGAGGGCTCAGAGGAGGCACATCGGAGACGTTCTGTTTCGCAACAGAGTGAACATCCAGCTCTGGCTGCTTCAAAGGGAGCTCCGGTACATCAGGCTTATCATCGCCTGCAGTCCAATAATCATCATAAACACCGTGCAGGTATGTGCTCTCGCGAGGGCCGATATCCTCTTCTAACTGTCCTGCTCGATTGCCGTTGAAGCTATCGAAATCACTTGTAGGCCGGACTGGACTGAGGCTCCGCATGATTTCCTCCCGGAGCTTGTCGCTCTCTTTGACAGGGGACGGTGAAGTGACTGTGCTCATAGTAGATTCGCGCTGCAATCTCTCAGGTGCTACGAAGCTCGATGAAGAAGGATCCGAGTGCCCAGCGTTCAACGGAACCAGAGGATGAACGGGAGCGTCGGCTGAGTGGCTTTCCTCACTGGCTTGGCTTGAGGAAGGCATTGGTTGCCCCGATGCATTAGAGATGGGTATTGGCATCGACGCTACACCCTTCACAATCGTGACACCGCTGCCTGGGACTTCATCGTGCTCGTTGTCGGAGATCGGGGAAACTTCGCCAGTATCAACGCCCAGGGTCTTCTTCTCTGCAACAGCAGGCGGCGTCTGCTCGTCGGTGACTGATCTAGTTTCAGTGACCCAGCCGCCAGGTAGAGAGGGCCGTGATGGCAGAGATGCCAAATCTGATTTGGCGGGATCTACATTTTCTTGATTTCGAGGAGCCTGTGCCGGCGGAGTAAAATCCTCTTGATTTTGCTCAGACACTCGAGGGGAGTCGGCTCGTTGGGGTGTTGAGCTCCCGGTCGATAGTGCAACAGCAGCCGGCGGATTTCCAACATATTGTGGTGCTGCTGCCGCCGCTGCTGCTTGAAGTTGTGGCGTCAACGCAGGCATTGGGGGTGCATCGTCGGCAAATTTACCGGGGTTAGAAAAGAAATCGTCCCCAAACAGAGACATGCGAGCCAGGTCTGGCAAACGTGGACTGGACGAGTAGCGACGTTGTTGAGCAACTTCTTCCTCACTTGGACGTTCAATCTGAGGTTCCGGCACGGGGGCTGGAATGCCCAGGCTGGGACTTTCAGAACTTGGGGGCATTGTCTGATTTTGGGCATGGTTTTGGGGCCGCATAAGCACGTTGTCGAAGCCGTATTCGCTCTTTCTCTCTGCAACAGGCGCTAGGGTCGGTCCCAGATTGCCTTGGACTGCATCATCTCCTTCAGGCTTTCCCAAACTGCTGCCACCCACTTGTTCGCCACTTCCAGTGTCAGCAGGAGGTGGCTTGGCGGGAGAAAGCGAGCGGTCGGTCTTGAAGCCGCCGCTGCTATCCAGACTGGGTCGTCCTGAGTCCATGGAGCCTCGTTCCCTACCCTTCTCACTGTCGACACGGCGATAGATATCCGAGGGTCGAACAAAAGACGGCTTCGAAGTCGAGGACGGGCCAGGCGATATGATACCGGAAGGAGATCCCGAGCGCTGCTCGACCCGTGGAGGATGAGTGGAGCTGGACCGAGAACTAGGAAGGCGATCACTGTCATGTTGGCCCATACTGCTCTTGCGAGGTGGGAATCGGGTGGATTGCGGTTGCGCCGGCGGTTGCGCCGGCGCTGGTGAAGTTCGTCGGCCGCTATTCGGAGGTATCACACTTTGCGGTTGTTCGTTCCGAACGAGAGAGGGCTCCGGTGTTGGGCCAGTATGAGCAGATTGCGGCGACACGAGCTGCTCATGAGGGCCCTTATCGGAAACACTGTCCATGGAGGACGGCCCCGAAACAATCGGAGGTTGAACATTTAGCGGTTCGGAGCGTGCAGGCGCAGGCGCGGGTGATGACGGAGTCTGGATTTGCAAAGGCGGTAGGCCTGCCGTGGCCCGAGGGCTGGTGGATAATCCCGACTCGCTCAAGGCCGGCTGCGGCGGTCGCATCGTTGGCAGTCCCGCGGATTGAGGCGTAGGTGGCTGGTGTGACGGCAGGTTCGACGGCAGATTCGCAGTTGTTGCCTGGCTGGGACTCGGTTGACGAGAGGCAGGCTTGAGAGGTGGGACAGGAATCGGTTCCTCGGGCTCCTCATCGTCAAAGTCGTTACCCCAGTCATCGCCGTCGTAGTTCTGTGCCTTGGCCTCAACCCATTTCTTCGTTTTCTTCCTGCCCAAGTTGGTCTTGTATGCACTCGTCGGCGTCTCGGGGCTTCTGCAGGGTTACTGAGATTAGCACCTGCATCTATGCCTTGAAAAGTGCATGGCTGGGGAGAACTCACAGAGGCGATTGTCCATGAGGAGGCCTGAAGCCATAGTTGTACGGGCCGCTCATCGCGTCGTCAAAGTAGTCGCGACACGAGCGTCAATCGCCACATATCTCTGCCAAAAGCCTGCCTGGTGACGGTTGATCCGAGGCAGCGAGGCGACTCGGTGTTAGATACCGTTATGCGCACGGCTGCGATCGGTGGTTCACTCAATGGGGGGCACTGATCGGGTGAGACTGGGAATGGAGATGGTCTACCACCTCGGGTTGGGATGGCCGACGCTGGTTTGAATAAGAACGGGACAATTTGATGAGCCTCGGGGCAGGCCAGCAAGAAGACGGCAGAGATCCGATCCAGGCAAGACTGGACAGTCGCTTCACTACCTTGAATGGGTCGGGGCTCGGTAGATGTTGTTGGTGAAGTTCGCTAGTCTGACCGGCCGCAACTTTTGCTGGAGAGGTACGATTAGACCCAAGACGGGATGATAATTTGGGGGCTTGGGGAGGTGGCTTGGAGCGGACCTTAGCTTATTACTCTCACCTAACCAGCCTACAATTATTCCCCGTCAAGCCATTGGGGAACGTAAGGCAGCGCAACGCAGTGCAGAGTGCGGACGCCGCCAGTTGGCCTCTCAGCTGGACTGGGGTGGGCTGGGGTGGGCTGGGCTGGGCTGCATATTTTCGCAATCCGTATTCGTGGTGTACTTGTCATATCCCTGTGCCAGTATGACTCGATGTCACTCTGCAGCGAATCTGTAGTGGACGAATACTCGGGGCACTGAGAGGATGGAGCCGTTGGCCGTGCTCAAAAAGAGGGGATCAGCCTGGGTGTCTTTCCAATGGCAGCCCGAGGACGCCCCATCCACTTGCAGGAAACGCAGGCAGGCAGACGTGGAATGCTACGCAGCTCAGAATCACGAGGGGCGAGCGAGGCATGGTATGGCATTGCGGTGGTGCCTGTCCGCCCGTCTGTGTGCGCGATCTGTGATCGGTGAGAGCGGAAGCGCGGCAACGCATGCTAAGGTATCTGCTCAGACTGGACAGCAAACGGGGGCGGACAGAATCTACTCCCGTCTGTAGCTCACGGCGGGCTAACAGTGTATTTCCGTGGCATGGAATACCCATGACACGCGGCTAATAAGCTATCAGCATCATTCTTCACAGATAAGGTAGTAAGTAGCAGAAAAGGTGCGTAGCCGTTGCATAGGCTAGGCACATTTAATTGCGAACTTGCATCTCAACACGGTACCGCGATCGCCTACAATACACACTAAGCGGACTGCCTCATTTCACGCATTGTACGGCGTAAGCAAGTTGGTCCTACACCATTCACGATTGCTCTTGAACTCTCATCGTACCCAGCTGCATGGTGTCATGGATGGCGGTTCATCTCACAATGTGGATCACCTCGGTCCGTGCAGCCATTTTTAGATGTGGCGGTGCGTGCGTAGTACTTGGAGAAAGTTTACCTATCAATTCGTCCCTACCTAGGTAGTGTAGCATACCTAGTACCAAGGGAGGCGCTAAAAGGACGTGGAAGGCGAAGGTCCAACGCCAAACAATGGAACGCTGTAAGGTACGAGCCACACGTGCGCCGCGCGCTCTAATTGCGCTCTGCAGTCCAGCCTCTGTTCCGAAACAAAAAACCACGTTGGCGGTTAGATCGGACACCCTGGCCCCGTCACTCCGGCTCCAGCAGACTGCCCGTTGCTCCGGACTCTGAATTTCCAAGTCTAATAGACGACACTCACGGCCAACCTGTATTCCGCACAACCTACGTCGAGATATCCGCTTAGATCAAGTCGCGACAACTGGCCTCGTCGCGCGTCTCGTGTTGCGTCGCATCGCATCGCACCGTCTTGCCTCGTTTTCTTGTACAACTACCTGCCCAACAGCGCTGTCCGCCATCAGAGACTCACCCACCGTGCCCGAACCGCCCTCGATTCGACCTGCCAATCTCCCACCCCTGAACTCCCATCCACCTCGGTCCCTGTATCGAGCATCGGCACGACAAAAATCTATCTTGCACAAAGTTCTTCATCGATTCCGAAGCGCTGGTCGCCCCCGTCCGAACCCCTCATCCTTGACCAAATCGAAGCTACGATGGCAGTCGCTTCGATACAGGACCGAACCTCCGAGTTCCAGTCGGTTCTCGCGCAAGCGCAGCGTCGCAAGGCCTCGAGCAAACTTGGTGCTCAGCAACGATCGCTTCTGACCGACTCCCAAAAGGCTGCCGCCGATGGCGACTCCAGGCCGAGGCGATCCGAGTTTGCGCGACAGGCGGCGCAAATCGGGAGGGGAATCTCTGCCACTATGGGCAAGCTTGAAAAGCTAGCAACATGTACGCACCTGTTTTCCTCTTATTCGCGGTTCAGATTTCGTACTGACTCGCCTTATCGCAGTGGCGCGACGCAGGACGCTGTTCGATGACCGGCCGGTGGAGATCAATGAACTCACCTACATCATCAAGCAGGATCTGAGCTCCCTCAACCAGCAGATTGGCAACTTGCAGGTCCTCACCCGACAGCAGCACCCGAAGGCTGATCAGGAAGGAGAGCACAACAAGAACGTGGTTTTCATGCTTCAGGGCAAGCTGACAGACGTTTCCGCCAACTTCAAGGATGTCTTGGAAGAGAGAACGAAGAACATCCAGGCGTCCAGATCACGGACAGATAACGTGCGTTGATTCTTTGCCTCCAGTACGATTGTCGCCGGATCTAACGTATGAATGCGTCTTTAGTTTATTTCGAGCGTTTCGCAGCATGCGCAGCCGCCACTACAGCAATCGGCATCGCCCTTGTATGGCACGCCGCAACGAGGAACACCCTCACCTGGAGCCGACCTCCTCTCGCTGAACCCCCCAGGGGATCAGCAGCTTCTCCTAATGGAGGAGGCGCAACCGCAAAACACATATATCCAGGAGAGAGGCGCAGCCATCGAGAGTATTGAATCCACGATTGCCGAGCTTGGATCTGTAAGCTGGCACACCCCCATGGGGCGTCGTACACCCGAATATTATAGACTAACCCTCTCGCGCAGATCTTCGGACAACTGGCAACCATGGTGTCTGAGCAGAGCGAGATGATCCAGCGCATCGACGCCAACACGGAAGACGTGGTCGACAACGTCCAAGGGGCGCAGCGAGGTAGGCGATGATGCCCACCCACCAACACGTTTGTGCGGAATCTAACTCGAACTGTAGAGCTTCTCAAGTATTGGGGCCGTGTTTCAAGCAACAGGTGGTTGATTGCCGTATGTGACTCTGTCCACCGGTCGGTTTCGTCGATCTTGCTGACATGGTGACCAGAAAATGTTCGGCGTTCTCATGATCTTCTTTCTGTAAGTTGTCGGCCTCGTTACGCCATAATTTGCAGATTAGCTGACCACTGGACAGGCTTTGGGTGCTCATCGCCGGCTGAGAGGTAATTATTGACGGCGGTTGAGGGAGTTAAGTTGAAAGAGCATTGGCTTCTGTAACACCACAGCGGATAGGGATACCGCTAATTGTACGATGACATTGATGTGGACATTGACATTGACCATGGGAGGACGGCGCGACACAGCTATAGAGCTTCTTCCTTGCATACCATTAGATCTATTAATCACAAAAGAGGTTAACTTCGGCGAATAGTGAGAGCTGCCATCTGCGGTGTGTAAGCATCCCCTCTATGCGATTGGGGTGCTCCGTGCGTTTATGTAGATGCCTTGGCCAGATCCCTCAGCCAACACTGTTCATCCCTCAAATATTGCCGAATACATGTGGTTGGGATCATCGTGGTGGTGGGTTCCCGTCGAGGACAGGCTGCACCTCCAGTTAGTTGAATGGCAGGGTGCAGGTACAGAGTACATTTGGACTTGTTAGGTGGTCTGCAGGTTCATGGCACCCACACTGTGCTCAGGCGGCCGGTTCGAAGAGGCGGGGGCTCGGGGTTGGTCCCGGAACATTTTCCCGTACTAGGTGGAGGGCCTCAAGCGGAAGCCAGCACCTACCACAGAGAGGCAGCAGAAAAAAAAGGCAACTATCAACGAGACCCGCCGGAAATCGGCCGCCGCCCCGCGGGCTTAACAACCACGGACCACGACATTGCCCACAGTGTCACAGTTGCACAGTCAGTTGCACTCACCAGGTAAGATGTGTAAAACCAAGCCAAATAGCGGGTCCTCTCTTCATGACTCGGCCCAACACTGCCCGAGGCATACCCTCGTTGAACGAATTATCCATGAATGGAACTCATATGGCCCACTGGAGACGAGGGGAACAGCACAAAGTTGGACAAACTGGGGAAGTCCACACCCCAGATACAGCTGCCAGAGTAGCTAGGCCCGGTGGCCGTAGCATCCTAGCCCGAGTGTGACATGCAAATCGCGGCCCCTGCGCGGGTACCTTGGCTGCGAGGAGACGATGCAGAGGGCGGGGCGTGTGATGAGAGACAGCTCTCCTGTTTGTCGAGCATTTACCCGGCTGTGGTCAAGCACCGCGCCGCAGTACGCTGATAACATTTATTTCCATTTCGGGTTGCAGACGATATATATACCGAGAGTCCACGCCTTTTCCCGGGCTGTGTGAGTGACGTCTCAAACCCCTCCTCACATTGACTGTCCTCCTCTCCCGCAGTAGAAATAACACATACAAACTACCCCGCCCCCGCCTTTCGGACCACGATCATTTTGGTTAACCTCGATACCAATCATCCTTCCGAACGCTCACCATGGCTGCGCAGACATTCAAGCTCAACTCGGGACACGAGATCCCCGCCGTCGCTCTGGGTAAGACATGCAAACCTCTTCGTCCTCCTGCTCAATGGCTGATGTAGACCCCTCAAGGCACATGGCAGTCTGCTCCCGGCGAGGTCAAGGAGGCCGTCTCATACTCTATTAAGATCGGCTACAAGGCCATCGATGGCGCCTACTGCTACGCCAACGAGGACGAGGTTGGCCAGGGCCTCACGGAGGCTTTTGCCAGTGGCGTCAAACGTGAGGACATCTACGTGGTCACCAAGCTGTGGGCCACCTACACCACCAGCGACGAGAGAGTTAAGCTTGGCCTGGAGAAGAGCTTGAAGAGCCTG